CAGCCATAGCGGCACCTACAATTCCAGCGTCATTGAGCAAAGATGCGGTATCTACTTTGACGGGTACATTGAGAAAGTTCTTGTACAAGTCAAAATTTTTGCTGACGCCACCACCGATCAATATCAAGTCTGGGCTAAGGATTAGATTGAGGTGATTTAGATAAATATCAAGTTCTTTGGCCCATTTTTTCCAACTCAGATGATGGAATTCACGGGCATAGTTGGATGCATATTTTTCGAAAATAGACTTTTTATATTTCAGGTGGCCTAGCTCGGTATTGCTTAGTAACTGACCATTATAAAAGACTGCTGAGCCTATGCCTGTACCGAGCGTGATGAAAATAACCAATCCTTGTACACCTTTTCCTTTTCCGTAGGTCATCTCCGCTATCCCAGCAGCATCTGCATCATTTACGACAGTGACATCACAGTCCAGTGCAGTGCTAAATTCAGCATCGATATTATAATTTATAAACTTAGCATCGATATTACTGGCTGTAAGAGATATTCCATTTTTTATGACAGCTGGAAACCCAATTCCTATGCGTTTTCCAGTCCAGTTGAAATTTTCTACCGTGGACTTTAGACAATCTATTATAGCTTCTGGTGTGGATGGCGCGGGCGTCTTTAATTTGAATTTTTCGCCTGTCAGTGTACCAGATTCAATATTTACAATGTTAGACTTGATGCCAGTACCGCCTACATCTATACCTAGGATTTCCATGATGCTGTTATTTTTTTATGGGATTTTATTTGATTATTTTAAGACTCAAAATTCTAATATCTTCAACAGGTCTGTCTGTTTTATCAGTTTGAGATTCAGCAATTTTATCTATTACTTCAAGACCTTTTATTACTCTACCGAAGACCGTATATTCCATATCCAATGCAGGTGCGCCACCTAAGGTTTTTAGGATATTGGCATCTTCAACGCTATATTTTATGCCTTTTTGTAGTTCGTAATTTTCTAATTGCTTATCAGTCTGTGATTTGCCATGTACGATATAGAATTGTGAGCCAGATGATTCTTTTTTAGGATTGACATTGTCACCAGTTCGAGCAGCTGCAAGTGCGCCTTTGGTGTGTATTAGTTTAGGGTTGAACTCAGCAGGTATCATGTATGAATTACCACCAGAACCCAATTTTTTATTTTTAGAATTACCTTTGGACTCTGGATCTCCAGCCTGTATCATGAAGCCTTCTATCACTCTGTGAAAAGTGATGTCTTCATAAAATCCTTCTTCTGCCAGTTTTATAAA